TTAGACAGAGGGCAACAGGATGCATGGTGTTGGAGGCATACCAAGGAGGGAATTTACACAGCAAAGTTGGGATACTTGTTGCTAAGAGACCAACAAGGAGGGGATGATACAAAATTATTCAGAAAAGTGTGGAACAAATACATTCCAAACAAGGTATGTGCTTTTAATTGGATGATACTACTGAACAGAATACCAACTAAAACAAATTTGCGGACAAGGGGCATTTTAAAGGATGATACAACAGCCTTATGTGGCTTCTGCAGGGCGGCACTAGAAGATACCAACCACTTGATCTTAGAATGCCCCTTTGTAGTAAAATTGTGGTGGAAATGTCAAGAATGGTGGGGACTGAGCTGCGTGAATTATAATGAGTGCAGGAAGGCTTTTGTTCAGCATGTCTTCTATTCAAAAAACAAATGGGTTAGGCAGGGCTGGGAAACCATTTGGTTTGGCCTCACATGGACCATATGGTTAGCAAGAAATGAACAAATTTTTAGAAAAACAGAAAGCTCTATCGCAAGGTTGTTTGACCTTGTACAGATCCGAACATTCTTTTGGATCAATGGAAGGGTAGCTGGATCGCTGTTTTCTAGTGCAGATTGGATACAAAGCCCGGTGTTGTGCTTGAAGTCAATACAAAGTGGGTTGAAGAGGAAGTGAAGAGCTCACAGTGTCGATGCATTATTTTGGTGTCGACACTAAACGGGAGGGCTTAGCATTCAAAATCCCGAAGCGGACTTGGTGTTGACACGTAATTTTGGTGTCGACACCAAACGGAAGGACTGAGCATTTGAACCCGACACGGACGTGGTGTTGACACATAGTTTTGGTGTCGACACCGAGTGGCAGGGATATTCAACTATGTAATTTATGCCTTTTAAGTTATGATGTTTATGGGTTTGAAGTATCCTTTGTATTTTTTTTTTTTAATAAATATTACTTTTTCTGTCAAAAAAAAAAAAAAGGAATCAGATATATCGAGTTGATTGGATTTAGCAATGTCAATTCCATCGGTGTGAGGACTATCTTTTGGGACAATCAAATTAATACTGGAAATGGATATACCAATATGGTTTAATGGACTGTTGTGACTTGTGAGTCCACTTACTCGAAGATTATTGCAACTTTGAAAGTACAAAACCTGCATGCATGTAATAATTCAAATTAAAATTAATATGCATAATTTGTTAATTTAAAGAGTGAATACTCACTGCAAGTTTATCCCAATCTCCAAATTTTTCCTGAACCAAAAAACAATTGATAATAATAAAGATTTTATGTTTAGTATATCACCACTGTATAAATGTCCTTGTCTAGATAAATTGGATATATGATAATTACAGGGGGGTAAAGTTTATTACGAACATGGGTAGAGTTCTTCCACCATGCGGCACCGTTTCCGTCAATTATGCCAGTACCAGAGATAATAAGGTTATCAACATGATCAAAGCATAACCAACAGCCGGATTTACAATCTGTCCAATCTGTGCTCATTGGTGCAATTATATTTCCCATCATCTATATATATATATAAACAAATAAGTTAACAATATGCGTAAGCGCAGACATTAATTAATTAATCAATTATTAATTGGAGCTAGAAATATATAAATATGAAGGTGAAAATACTTGAATTTGAACGGTTGTCGATTTGCAAGGTCCAGAGAAGTTGACTTGTTTCAACAAGAAAGTCTTGCCTGGCGGGACTTGCAGACTCGGCATGGTGGCTCCACTTGTAGTAGTGGTCTCACAAACACGCCTCCACGCATCCAAGAAAGCCTTGAATGTACATATAATACAAGATATACAGTTAATTAGTAAAAATTTTAACACACACATATGTATATATAGATCATATATATTATATATTTAATTATATATACATTTGAGTCATCAGTTCGAGCATCTCCAACAGCCCCAAAATTCAAGACGTTGAAGAGTTGGCCTTTAGCTTGGCTAAAGGTACTAAGAAGGAAGACCAGAGTAATGAAGAATCGAATCTGTACGGATAAACATATACAACAACAAAAATCAATATATCAATTGAGACAGCAGAGCCCTATAACCAAGAAGACTATATTTCATCAATTAACAAAAATTTAAGACAAAGAATACTGTCTGAACCAATTAAGTTGAGAAGGTGTTGAAACAATTTCATGGAACAGAATGAAGAAACTTAGAAAGAAGAACTCAGCTAACTGTAAGCAAAAGTAAAGAAGAGAGCTACGAAGAATGAAGTAATGAACAGCTAGCTATTTGTGTAGTACGTAGTTGTAGTTAAGGTTGTCAAAATTGAGATTTTACCTAAAATCGTTTTGGGTAAATAAAATTGAAATTGTAAAATTGAATCAGTAAAATTGAGATTTTATTAAATTTAATAAATAAATAATAAAAATTTATATTTTTATGTTAAGGTTGTCAAAATTGAGATTTTACCTAAAATCGTTTTGGGTAAATAAAATTGAAATCGTAAAATTGAATCAGTAAAATTGA